CACAACATTTACCTGCTCTCACTGCCACACTAACTATCTGCTTTTATTGGAACACTCTCCTTCTGTCACTACTACTCCAGCTGTCATTGTCACACCATCTCACTGCTCTCACTGCCATACCATCTCTTTGCTTCGTCTCCCAGCTCTCACTGCCACACATATTGCCTGGTCATCTGCCTGCTTTCACTACCACATATACTGCTTTCACTGAGTGCCACACCATCTCCTTGCTCTGACTGCCACACCCTTCTCTCATTGCCACTCCATCTCCCTTCTCCTACTGCCACACTATCTTCAATTTCTCTCATTGGCACACCATCTCCCTTCTCTGACAGTCTCACTATCTTGTTGATCCAAACCTTCCTCCTGCTTAATTGCCACACAATTTCACTACTGTCACTGCGACACCATCTCCGTGCCATCACTGCCACACCATCTTCCTGCTGTCAAAGCCACACCAGCTCCCTGCTTTTAGTGCCACACCAACTTCCTGCTCTCCGTACCACACCGACTCCATGCTCTTACTGCCACACAATCTCGCTGCTTATACTGCCACACTAATCTCTTGTTCTCACTGCAACACTAGATATCTGCTGTCACTGCCACACTAAGCTCGTATAAAGGGTTGTTAATTAGAGATTAGTAATGATGAAGTGGATGTGTCAGAGTTAGATTGTATTTTAAATGATTCCATGAGGTAGATCAGTACAGTTTCAGTTCAGAATGTGAACACTATTGTGTTTGATTGGAGGCCTATCTGGATAAATGTACTCTTGATACTCATGATCCAGGTTCTCTACAGCTTCAGGCAGCTCTTGTTCACCTGCTGGTTTTTAGCTGTCAAAGCTGCTACAGTTAGATGCTACAGTTACAGTTACATCACCATGGGGAAGACCAAGAGTTGACTCAAACGTAGAATTTGAGTTCTCAAGTTTTATACAATTGTATGATGAAAATTGATGAGAGAGAAATACTTAGTGGTGGGCAATACTGTTAAAATATCATGCAACCACCAGTATGAGTATGAAGATTTTAAGATCAGCATAGTGTAACCAAGAAGGCAAGACCACACCCTTAACTGCACCTACACATATGCTTAATTGCTTTTTAATGAATTAATAAATTTGTGGTTAAGTGTGTTTAGTATGAATAGTGATACCAGAATGAAGATGATTCAGCCATTTTCCACTCACAATGCTGGAATATTTGTGCATTGCCCCAAATAGCGTTAATCTCCAAATTTTTGTTCATCAAAATTTTTGTTAACTTTTTCAAGTATTTTGCTTACAAAA